GATGTTGACATTAATTTCTTGCTTCCCACACCCAGAATGAGCCAATATTAAACTTTCCTCTGATATCTCCCTGAAACAAGACTACTCAAATCTACTTCAATCTGTCTACTCTTCATTCTGCATCATTTCAGTCCTATTCAGCCTTCATTCCTCTGTGGTAACTCTGCTGTAACTCCTGCTTGGGGAGCTGCACTCCTCTATTCACCTCACTAGACTTATCTCAGACATCATCTCTTTCAGAGCCTTTTCTAATCACCCAGAAATCATCACTCCCAGAATTGAACACTAACTCATATCAGTTGAGTTATTGAATCCAGCCCTGATTTACTGATGATGCACTTGTGTCCTCACACACTAACAAACGTGATGCTCTCCTTTATTGGCCCAGTGTTTGGGGCAGTGTCTAGCTTATGCTAGCTCTTCAGTAGGATTCTTGGCTTCATTCCACAGACAATGGGGCATCTGAGAGGGATATAATCACAGCGTTACTTTAAGAAGATCTCCTTGACGGTATGTAGAGAATGGGCCACAAAGAGAAAGACGGCTGGTGGGCTAGGTGAGAAAGATAAAAGTGGAACAACGTGAACAACAATGAAAAAGACAGAAGAAATATTGGAAGCATCAAGAATATAAGCTTAATAGTAAGTAGTACACACGAGTTACCACATATGAGCTTTCCACAAAAGTCAACCGCATGCATTCAACAAGAAAACTAAAAATCAGAGAGTGAGAGTAAGGAGAGCTGCAGGGACTTTTGCCTCCTCTGCCAGCGCACACACACATACTCACGCTGTGAGCCTGAAAACGGGGCTTTTGCATCTACAGTTCTTTCAGTAGTTCTGATTTCTGACTATTTCCTTTAGTAACTGTGGCTCCATGATTCTTTTTAAAATAACAAGTCAACCACTTCAGCTCGTGCTCAACACTCACTGTCATGGAGTGGATTCCAGCTCACAGTGACCCCATCTAGGATTTCCAAGGCTGTACAACTTTTGGGGAGCAGATAGCCTCAATGTGCTCCTTTGAATTGGCTGGTAGATCTGAACCACTGACCTTGTGTTTAACAGTATAATGCTTACCCGACAGGCTTCTTGATGTTCAACCAAAGGAACTGTACCTACTGAAAAATGGTATTCTTACTATTTTAAAGGTATTTTTAAGGGTATGTTGGACTACAGCCAATATTTGCCAAACATTGCAACTTAAAAATCTAAGCATCTACAAAATCATACCCCATTGTAGTTTATTTTAAAGGACTCTGTACCAAGACTCTTGGGGGGTGGAATTCTGGCCCTAATATGACCTTAGCCAATAAATTGATTTTCCCTGGGCTTTTAGCATGATGATCATGGAGTCAGGCCATGAATTCTAAGGTCTTACATTTATTCATAGAATACCAGCGATAGAGAAATCTGGTCCAACTCCATGTAGTTGGCAAAGGAGAAACCAGAGGGCTTTCTGAAAGGAGTTACTTGTTCAAATGAACTATTAGCAAAGAACAAAAACCAGAATCCAGGCTTCCTGACTCCCAGTCTTATGTATTTATCATCTGTGTCAGGCTGCCCACAGCTTTAATAAGCCATGATCCGTATCCCTCATCTGTGCACTGCAGGAATGCACACATTGCAGCCACATTCCAAAGAAGCAGATGTGCATGCGCCTCGAAAGCCAAAGACTGTGGGAAATCAAACTGGAGAGGAATGTTAATCAAATGTGAGCCTCCAGACGGCAACCTTGGGGTCCTGCTCTTCTTCAAGTGGTTGATATGCAGTTCTGGTACTTCCACCACCACGGCCCTGATGGACGTAGTTGAGAAGAGTGTTTTGTGCACTTCAACTGAGCCAGAACGGGTTCCTATGAGGAGCTGGACTCTATACATTGTTAATGCTCTTGGCTGCTAACAAGAGGGTTGGTGGTTTGAGTCCACTCAGAGGCAAGTCAGGAGAAAGATGCGGTGGTCTACCTCTGAGAAATCAGCTCTATCTGACCCCCTCGGGGTTGTCTTGAGTTGGCATCAACTCACTGGCAGCTGCTTTTTTGTTTGTTTGTTTGTTAGACTTGTCAGGGGAATTCAGTCACAGAGTAAGAAGACTCTTTAAAACAAGGGATGTGATTCTGTAAAACAATATTATTTTTTAAAGTTATTATTTAAACCAATATTATTTAAAGTTGCTTGGAAAAGGATGGTGAAGGCATGGTAGTTTACAAATTCTCTTCAAATGACCTGCTATCAGAGATAGCCCCAGCATACTGCAGACACTGATTGGAGGGCTTGTGACCATGGGACTTTGAGAAAGGACAGTTGCTACATGTCACTGATATTATCCTGAGTAGGATAATGAAGGTTTGGCTGGATCATCAGGAACTTTTTGGATTGAGAGTAGAATTCTGAGATTTTAGAGGAGTTAGGAATCATCGCCTCTCTTCCTGTCATGGAACAAATGGGTAGAAAACACAGAATTTTGGGAGTGCATTTGGCTGACTCATGGCACATGAATACTTTAACCCAGATGGAGAAGGAGGATGTCTCTGTAATTCACAGCCGGAGAGGCTGTAGAAGAGTTGTAGATGGCACACTCAGAACCAGCGAGCGGCTTTCCAACTGTATGTGAAACGTTTCTGGGTTGGGGGTTAGAGGTCTGAGTGACAGACCTGGACATGAATTCTGGGTTTTCATCTTTATCTGTCCAGCGGAACTGACTACAGCAGTAATACTCAAACTATAATTTTTCAAAGGTGCTGCGGTAACTACTTTTAGAAAGACCTCTGTTTTCTCCTCTGCCAACTGCATGGAGTTGAACCAGATGGTCTCTAAAACCCAACATATCTCTGGTATTCTATGAATGAATATAAGACCTTAGAAACCATGGCCCATCTCCACGATCATCGTGCCAAAAGCCCAGAGAAAATCCATCTATTGGCTAAGGTTATATTAGGAACAGAGGGAAGCTCAGCTGGGCATGTATTGGCAAGAGCATGGGCAATGGCTTGTCCATGTGAGCGCCAGATGCCAGCCTTTGAGGGCACAGCTCCCTGCGGAGGGAGGCCTCCATGTGTCCCAGGCTTCTGAAACCTCTGCTGGGAGGTTTTACCAGGATAGCATTTGGTAAGAGAGTCAGTCGAGCAAGCAAGAGATGTACAGCCTCACTGTCCCTTCCTCCACACCCCAGCATGAACCCTTTTCCCAAAGGACTTGGAACCCTGGTATGTGTGTTTGGCTGTAAACCGCAAGGTCAACAATTCAAAGCCACCAGCCACTCTGTGGGAGAAAAATGAGGCTCTCTACTCCCATAAACAATTACAGTCCCAGAAACCCAATAGGGCAGCTCTCCTCGATCTTGCAGGGTTACTGTGATTCATACACAGCTCCAGAGCAGTGAGTTTTGTTATGTTTTGGTTTGCAGAGTGATTCTGCAGGTGGGCTGCTAACTGCAATGTCAGTGGTTTAACAAGCGCTGTCGGCCTCTGTAAGACAATTACGGCATGGGACAGCTTATGGAGCACTCCCCTCTGTCCTGCAGGCTTAGAAAGTGGGATCTGAGGGCTCCATGTCTCTTTGAACTAGAGACAAGCTTCAATTCTGTCTGTCAGGAATACTCTGACCTTTCTCCGCTCTGCTTTAAAAAAAGAACCGCTTCAGACCTGTGGCATTCTTTGGGTAGCTTCTCAATAAAATCACTACATGCTCATCTCTCCATACATTTTTCACATCACTTCTGATCATGATCTTTCATCTCCATCTATGTCTTTTTTTTAAAATTGGTTTGTTAGGGGCTCATATGACTCTTATCACAATCCATGCATACATCAATTGTGTAAAGCACATTTGTACATTCATTGCCCTCATCATTCTCAAAACATTTCCTCTCCACTTAAGCCCCTGGCATCAGGTCCTCATTTTCCCCCCTCCCTCCCTGCTCCCCCCCTCCCTCATGAGCCCTTGATAATTTATAAATGATTATTTTTGTCATATCTTGCCCTGTTTGATGTTTCCCTTCACCCACTTTTCTGTTGTCCGTCCCCCAGGGAAGAGGTCACATATAGATCCTGTAATCGGTTCCCTCTTTCCAACCCACCCTCCCTCTACCCTCCCAGTATCGCCACTCACACCACTGGTCCGCCCTGGATTCCCTGTGTTTCCAGTTCCTATCTGTACCAGTGTATATCCTCTGGTCTAGCCAGACTTGCAAGGTAGAATTCGGATCATGAGAGGTCGTGGGGGTGGGGTGGGGAGGGCATTTAAGAACTAGAGGAAAGCTGTATTTCTCATCGTTGTTACATCGCACCCTGACTGGCTCGTCTCCTCCCCGAGACCCCTCTGCAAGGGGATCTCCAGTGGCCTACTAATGGGCTTTGGGTCCCCACTCCGCATTCCCCCCCATCATTCACTCTGGTAAGATTTTTTGTTCTGATGATGCCTGACACCTGATCCCTTCAACACCTTGAGATCGCACAGGCTGGTGTGTTTCTTCTACCTCCATCTATGTCTTTTGCTGATAAAATCCAAATTCCTTATCATGACATCCAAGGTCTCTCAGAATCTCATGCCAACCCCTCCATCCAAACACACTTCCTACCGTGTGCTGCACTTTACCCTACCTTCTCCAAGCTCTGGATCGTTCACCGTCGGTGAGATACGGTAGTGCTTTCTAATGCTGTGCATTTGGACATCATTCTGGCTATGTGTCTGGATATTATTGCTTACTCTAGGGTCTCTACCCTTTTCTGTTGGTTGAACTCAAGGTGACCTTTGAGCAGAGGGCGTGGGCATCGAAAAGTCTTTACAAATGCAAGGAAAAAGGAGAGGCTGTGTTTGGCTGAGTCACACCCCATCAACTTCAGCTTCTACGGTGTCTTTTCTAGACCTCTCCCTTTGCTCTGCACGAAACATGCCATTGTCAGCCTTCAGTTACCAGACTGCTACCCTGGGAGACAGAGTCTAATTATTCTATGCTGCATAACTGCCAGTCAAGGGCTATGCCCCGCTGGGGGAGTCTCACCTTCACATAATCGTATTCACAAAGATAGGACGATTCCAAGTCGAAGTGCATGAAGTACAGTTTGATCCGAAATCCCTCTGGCACAGTGATATTCCACGTCACTTCGGAATCACTGGGGTAGGAGTCTGGATAGCCCGGCGACTGGATGTGGCCAAACATGTCATTGAGCTCCACGGTGTGGGCTGACGCCTTCAGCAGTGAGAAGCACAGAGCATGATAAAGAAAAAGCCACCTGAAAAATATGAAGGCAAATCTATTTACATCCACAGGTCCCCAACATTGAACGAAACCAGCAGCCGGGAGCCCCAGTCCTTGGACCCTCACTGCCACTGACTGTGTAATCATTGCCCTCTTCTGACCATGCAAACGCAGCCTGCAATCAGGGGAGGGGGTGGCTAAGTGATATTTCAGTTGTTGTTTTTTCCCCCCTAGTTTCCCTCTTTTGAAATCTGATAACCATAGTAAAGCTTTTCTGAAAGTCCCAAATGTGGGACCCTCCTGGATTTCCTTTTACTGTGGCCCATATGAGGTTTTTTTTTTTTTTAAATCAATTTATTGGGGCTCATACAATTCATCACAATACATAGATCAATTGTATAAAACACATCTATACATTTGTTGCCCTCATTATTCCCAAAATTCGCTTGCCTCTTGGGTTCCCGGAATCAGCTCATTTTCCTTTTTTTTCACCTCCCCTTCCCTTCCTCCTCCCCTCTCCCCCATGCACCCTTAATAATTCATAAATTATTATTGTATCATATTACACTGTCCGGGGTCTCCCTTCACCCACCCCCCTGCTGCCCGTCCCCCAGAGAGTAGGTTATACATAGCTCCCTGTGATCCATTCCCCCATTCTTCATCCCCTTTCTCTCCTGGTATCGCCACTGTCACCCCTGGTCCTGAGAGGTTCATCTGTCCTAGATTCCCTGCGTTTCTGATTCCGATCTGTCCCGCTGTGCTTCATCTGGTCTAACCAGGTCTGCAAGGCAATATTGGGGTCCTGGTAGTTGGGGGGCCATATGAGTTTTATGATCAGGTGAGAGTTGCTATCATTTCACCAGTTTGGCTTCCTTAACTCTCGATTCATTCTGTGAAAAAAGTAAGTAGCAAAAGCATGGTGAAATCGGAATCAGAGTCCCTGAGTGATGATTTTCTGCTCCCGCAAAGAGTGACTGCCTCAGAAACCCGCAGGGGCTGCTCTATCCTGTCCCATAGAAACCCCATCGATGGCAGTGAGTGAGAAGACGCTCGGGTGAAAGATTTGAGAATCTCCCGCTGCAAGCCAGCTACTGAGGAGTCTGTGGAGCACAGTTCTACGCTGACACACAGGGGGTCTCCTTCAGTCAGAAGCACCTCGCTGACACCTGGTTGTTAATATGGGGATGAGATGTATTATTTTCAGTGATAACATCTGGGGTGCCTAACCGAGATATATTCAGTTGAATCAAGTATTTCACCACAAAATTGATTAATGCACATAAAAATCTTGAATAAAGAAAGCATGAGCAAAACAAGTTTTTTCCTCTTTCCCTCTTGGAAAGAGTTCTAAGAACAGGGCCAAAGGCTTGTAACTTATTTCCAGAGATCATGGACAGGAAAAAGGGTTGCACAAGGACCAAGGGCAACCCAATAAAAGTGACAGAATATGCCAAATGTGGCTGATGCAAGAAAGAGGTAGAGTAACTGAGGCTGTTCAAAACTCCAGACATCTAACACCCCACTCCTCCCTGGCAAGAGCCAGGGACCATGAGCTTAAAGACCCCACTCTCTTCCCTAACAGGACCTTGTCCTCATTTCATATTGCTAGTAGTAGGATGATCACCTATTATTTGCATATGCCTGAAAATTTATCACATTTCCCCTCTCACGTGACATTCAGTAGTTACCAAGTCCTATTTATTCTATTCATTACAATTTGGAAAATCATATCTTCTTCTCCAGCAAGTCCTCAGTACTCAGTTTAAACTGGCTTGTCTGGTCTATTGCTAAGGCATCCTAACTGGTCTTCCTGCCTATTATCCCTCACTTTATAACACTTAGCAATCTTCCACAAAAGTTGAGTTCCTAAAATACGGATGTGACAATTCCACTCCACCGCTCCTGCAGGGAAGAGCATCTATCTGCTCCCTGCATGATTTTTGAGGACATCTTTGACCTGGCACACTGATCTGGGGTTCAGCTTCATCTCGATACCAGTCGGGCTGGCCTCCCGTCACCCTGGGAGCTGCTATGCCTTTCCATACCTGTCTGAGTGCTCTTCCACCCTCCACTTCAAAAGCTTCCCAGCCTATGAGGCACTCCTCCACTGTCCGATTCCATCGCTCCTTGGCTCAGTCAGAGGGAGTATCGCACTGTACCGCTTTATGCACACCCTTTACAGTTAGGGGTACTTTTCCCACCTACTGGCTTTGAAATCATGAGTAACTAGTGTCTCCAAGCCTCAGTGCCCTCATCTGTAAGATGGAGATTATAATCCCTAATTTGCAGGGTTCGTGTGAGTACCAGAGAGGTATATGTAAGGGACCTAGACTAACCACTTGTTGTGGAGTTGATGCTGACTCACGGCCAGCTCCTGTGTTACCCAGAGGAATTGTGCCTCCGAGGGTTTTCAAGTCCACAGAGGCAGGTCACCAGGCCTTTCTTCTGCAGCAGAGTGGGCTTGCCAACCTTTAGATGAGGAGCTGAGCACAGATCATTTGCACTGCTCAAGGATTCCACGTGTGTATTTGTGTCTGCACGCATGTATTCGTATGTGTGTGCATAAATTATAAAAATGTGATTGTTTATATACCCAGAAAGATAATATGGACAGAGGTTATTAATTTGTATACAAAGTAAATTTTGTTGCTTTGCGCGCCACTGAGTTGGTTTTGATCCGTCGTGACATCAGGTGACAGAGTAGAACTGCTTCATGTTTTTCTTTGTTAAAAAGTCTTTTATTATGAACTGAGTGAAGGCCTCTGGGATTGGGCTGTTTACTTTTCACGTTATATTATGCATTAAATGAAATGATTTTCTCTCTGGCTAATTGAAATTTTAAATTGATAAAAACTCAGGCCGTTCAAAATGACAGAAGTATAAGTGGAAATGCAGTAAAATGTCTTCCCTCCACCATCTTCTAGCTAAGGAGCTCCAATCTCTAAAATGATTAACTTCAAACTTAATCTTACAGATCTATTTCTGACGAATCAGACATCTCTTGTGTGTTTCACCTGTTATGTCTTTCATAAAATTGGTGTTATCCTCTCTTCATTGTGATGCTCCTAGTTTTTCTTGATACAAGGCATTATCTATCTTGTATATCTTTCCACATCAGTACACAAAAAGTGTCTCCTTCTGCTGAATTCCATCATACACAGGTACCCCTGTTCAGTGAACCACATCGTGCATTGATGTTTGATTGAGGCTGTGTCCAATGTTTCCTTTCCTCAGCAAATGGTAATGGGTCACCTGATCCCCATATCATTTTGCCACCACTCATCTGACAGTGTGTCATGCTGTGCTCACATGCATGTTGTGATGATGGTAGAAGCTATGCCACCAGCATTTCCTGTGCCAGCAAGGTCACCCATGAAGCACAGGTTTCAGTTGGGCTTCCAGATTAGAAGAGACTGGGAAGAATAGGTTGTCCACTTCTGAAAGATTAGCCATGGAACACCTTATGTGTGGCAGCAGAACACTGTCAGAGTGCCGAAGATGAGCCCCTTGGCTTGGGAACAACCGGGGAAGAGTCGCTTCCTCAATGTCGGATGGGTCTTCATGATGTGGTTGGAGTAAAGCTTTGGGGACTTTCATTTGCTGATGGAGGATGACTCAAAACCGAGAAGAAATACACATTGCACAGGGTAAACCTGCTGCACAAGACCTTTTCAAAGAGTTAAAAAGCAAGGATGTCATTTGGAGGACCAAGGGCCACCTGACTCATGCTATTTCCAATCGCCTGCCATGCATATGAAAACTGGCCAAGCAATAAGAAGTACCAGAGAAGAACTGATGCATTTGAATCATGGTGTTGGTTTAGAACATTGAAAGTACCTTGGAACTGCCAGAAGAACAAACAAATCTGTCTTGAAAAAAGTACAACTGTATAGTTTATAGTTTTGAAGTGAAATAATAATCTATTCCAACCACTTCGTACTTGTTTTGTGCCAGCCACTGAATAGGTGCTAGAGACATGGCAATGAGCAACATAGACAAGAATTCCAACTTGCTAGGAAGTCCCTCAGTGGGGCAAATGGCTCAGCATTGAACCACTATCCTAAAAGTTGGAGGTTCAAATCTACCCCAGGGTTCTTCATATGAAAGGCCTCGTGTTCTGCGACCCACACTTTCAGCCTTGAAAACCCAGTGGTGTGCAGTTCCGTTCTACACAGGCGGGGGCACCATGAGTCGGCTCCGCAGCAACATGGTTACACAACCGGAGAGGCACACATTCTAAAAGGAAAATGCTTCCCACTCCCTTGGGGGTTCATTTTTTGTTTTAAGATTTTATTTTATCCTTGCGGCTGTTGAGAAAACACACATCAGAACATACACCAATTCAACAGTTTCCACATGTTCAGGTCAATGGCAGTGATTACATCCTTCCTGTCACGCCGCCATGCTTGCCCTCGGAGTTTGAGTTGTTCCTCCCTGACTATCATAAACTGACTGCCGCCTGAACTTGCCACCGAATCCACCCATCTGCTCTCTCTTGTCAGTTTGACCCACCTTGAATAGACAGCTGAAAAATCACACAAGCCTCCCGGCAGACATTTTTCAAACTACTGTTTGGCTTTAAGAAGACTTCCAGGGGCATATTTTGGTGTAAGGTTTGACGATTATCTGAAGGCAATTGTTTCTAGGGTTCATCAGCCTCCAAAGCTCCAGAAAATCTGGGTTCCATGAGAATTTTTAACTCGGTTGTGCATTTTCTCCCACCAGGTTTTCTTGGCCGAATCTTTATGGAAGCAGATTTTCTAGTCTTGCTGCCACGGCGTCGCTGGGGTAGATTTGAACCATCAACCCTCTGTTTGGCAGATAAATGCTTTACCATGATGAGTATTTTTTTATTTTACTTTTGAGTTTGTAAAAGGTTCAAATTTATCTAGAAGAGAACAATGTATTATTTTTTTCAATAAAAGAAGATAGTATTTAAATTTTTTCTAAGCCCTATCTAGCAGCAACCACTTTGATGCCATTAAGAAGGCATTTTATACCCATAGTCAGTGTCAATATGTCTTTGTAACGTTAATCTGTGCAGGGAGAGCCTCAGAGGGAGTGAGAAGGAAAGTATCGCACCATTTAAGTTATTTAGCTGTGTTTAGACATTCAACTTGCCAGACCCAGGCAGCCCCACTTCAAATAAGGAAAAGGGACCCGTGTTAACAGGATTGTGAGCTGGGGCTGAATTCTGCTTGGGAGGAGAGAACCCCTGGTCCTGGGTCAGAAGAAGTCGGGTCCAGCGTTTTCCTTTATTTATCTGATCCACCTTGGGAAAATCACACACGGTCTACGGTCTTAGTTTCCTTGCCCGTGAAATGGTGATAACAGTGATGTCGCCCAGGGCTGCTGTCTATCAGTGTCAAGGAAACCCCTTTGTGAACCGTCCAGTCCAAGGCAAACATTAACGATGATTACTCCATCATGCCGCTTCCCGAAAGGCTGGGGTTAGGAATGAGCTTTGCTTTCCAAACTGAACTGCCCTGCACTGGAGGCACTCAGATTATGCAAGGCTGAAAGGTCAGCTCTCTCCATGCCTGTTTTTTGCAGACCCCTGTGGAGACACTAACCTTCTGAGGCTGGGTCTGTTAAGGACTGCTCACTGACAGCATCGTCTTTGGCTCAGAAGTGCCTTTTGTGGCAGAAGACTGGTCAGTGTGGGAAGAAGGCCTGCACAGCTTTCTGTTCTGTTGCGTTTGCATCTCCAAACGGGTGGAAACATTTGAGACAAATAACTCCGCGTGTGTTATGGGCTTGGGCATATGCTTGCTGGCTTCCATCCTTTAAGCAGCAAATCGAAAGATGCAAATAACAGCTTTCATTCTCTGTCACACTCACGCAATGTGTTTGGCTTCTTATCTCCCAGACTCTGGCTGTACAATTTCTGACACCTGCTATCTACAGCTCCACCCCACCCCTAGCTAATCAAAGAAGTTAGCTACATTTTCTGGAAATGTCAAATGTAACATATAAAGATGGGATTTCATGAGCTCGTCTAAGTAGGAGTGGGCTGCTTGGACCCCATGAAAATGCCTCAATATATCTATGGTTGTGGAACAAAGAGCACTCCCTGCCTGCTCTTGTCACTTTCCCTATTCCAACCGAAGCAACGCCACGACTCAACGGTTTTGAGTATTGGAGTTAAGGGACTGCGGACATCTCTAAGACAGCATCCTTTCTTGGCAGACGATGAAATGATATCCCACGCGATGACTTGTTATGCTCAATACCATATGGTAAATTAGTTTCAACAGAAGACAGGAATAACAAAAGCTCACAGAGGAAGCTGGGTTCATGCCTCTATAGTATCCAGGCATCTGGCCAAAGCAATTAATTCTGTGAAAAATAATTCATCAAACCCATGGTTTTCTGTGGAGATTTAAAAACATGCTAATAATGCCCACACCCCTTCCCCCGAGAGAGTCTGCTTTAATTGGTCTGGGGGAAGGCCAGCACACTGGTAGCTGTTAAAGCACCACGAGTGATTTTAATATGGTCAGGATTGCCTGCCACTGGATTGAATGGTGTAGAATGATTACTCAGTTGACAACCGGGTGGAATAGAGTAGGGAAAAAGCCCTGCGCTTGCAGCCCTAAGGCCCAAGTGTGAGCCTGGATCTCTACAAAACCCTCAACGTTGTGTTGGGCAATTTGCATAGCTGCTTCTCTGTAAATCCTTATTTCATCTGTAATATGATCACCAGGTGAAAACGTGTCCATGAAAGTGCTTTACAAAAGCCAAGGTACTCTATCTATAGAAGACAAGTTCCTGTAGAGACTTTTCTAGTAGAGCACTTTATCAATATTGTTTTCTCTCTCAATTGAGTTATTTTCCTATTGAACAATTGAGTTCAGTTCAACCAGTATGTATCGAGGGCCTAATAGGAAATGGAGCCCGGGTAGTGTAGTGGTTAGCCATTGGGCTGCTAACCTTAAGATTAGCCATTTGAAACCACCAGTAGCTCCAAGGGAGAAAAACGAGGCTTTCTGCGCTCATAAACAGTTACAGTCTTAAGAACCCACAGGGGCAGTTCTACTCTCGCATACAGGTGGCTATGGGTCAGCATTGACTAGATGGCAATACATTTGGGGTGTTTTTGTTACTAGAAAACTGATACTCCTCTGAGTGCTGGGCAGACAAATATGCATCAGACATGGATCTTACCTCAAGGGCAGCTCATTCTTGTAGGGAGAGAGAGAGACATTGAAATAAGCAGATTTTACCATGACAATAGGAGGCAGAGACAGCACCCAGGATGCTCCCTCTGGGGCTGGTGGCCCAGGAAAAGGAGGTGATGTTTGAACTAGCTTGAACAATTGGGAGCTCTGGGTACAAACTAAAGTGGGGGACGGGGGATGCTCTCAGTTGAGGCTGAGTGAGCATATGCAAAGACCCATGACTGTTATTCCACCCTGTGGGTTGGTATGGCTGGGCCAAAGGGGTAGGGAGGGATCTGGATGGAGGACAGGAAGGCTGAGGTCAGTCAAATTATCATTCCCTGTGAATGGCTATAAGCCCCATCTACCTTACAGGAAAGGATAATGGCACTGGGTAGCAGGTCTAAAAAGACAATGGATTTAGCAAGAATAGGATGATGGAGATAACTTTAAAGACTTTACTGTCTTTCTGAACTATAGGTCATTTGAGTTCAAAGGGGCTGGAACCCCCCATCTCCTCCAGACCCAGCACAATTGCTAGCGGACTTTGCAGGACAGAAACAAACAGAAACGCTTTCCCAAGTGGACACACAAAATTAATGGGAAAGAGGTGTTTTGGGGACTTCACACAGAGGAAGAGTGGTGGTTTGGGAGTTTGTTTGTTTGTATTGCATTTTAAACAACATGAACATTTAAAAGTCACAAAAATAATGAGAGTGGTTGGACTTTGAGACTCCGAGGAACATTGTAAAGGACTGCCTGGTAGGAAGGATAAAGCAACTCTCAATGTAGGCTCAGGAGGAAGGCAGGCTGGAGAGCTTACAACCCATTAGAATGTCAAGTGCTCCGGTCAGAAAGCCCAAGGCGCATCTTTTGATTTGATTCCCCCCACATCTGTGGTAGCCCTTTAAGAGCCATTTGGTGCCACTTATATCCTGATTCATCCCACCAGCTACCTCTGGTTTCAAGGAGAAATGCAGAAATTTCTAAGGAACTGTAAAATGGGGACAGGTTTTAGTTTTTTTCTAAATTGAGGTTTCAACTGGCAAACTTCGGAAGGTCTAAGAAACCACAGAGCTAAGCTGTGGGAAGCTGGTTTCTTTTCCGGTCAGCAGAAATAAACACACAAACACATCTCTCACTCACAGAGTGTGGGGAGCGATCTACCGCTGCCCTTTGCAGGGAAGCAACGTGGAAGTCAGCTCTGAAGGCAACAGGATGGGGCTCCCCACCCCACCCGCCAGCAGGCAGCGCCCTGTGCTGGCACAGCGAAACCTGAACCTCAGCAGCACGGGGCAGGATTTTCACAGTCGCCGGGTCAAGTTGCATGTCTCCCAAGTCCCAGAAAAGGCACCTCGTGCCAATCTCCCTTCGCAGAGCCCCAGGGGTTGATGAGAAACCCCCTCACCACCACCCACAGGACACAGAGGTGAGTCTGCTCAGGGGGACAAGGTCAGACCCTCTTGGGCTACTTGACACCTGGTCTCTGAAAGAGCACCTCAGCCCTGCTCCACCCTGTCACTCACCTCATTTTCTGCCTGAGTGGGTCCTGGTTGCCTGGCCCCGGTCCTCAGTGTGGCTTGTAGGCGAGCTTGTCCCCGGTGTGCTGTCAGCGATGCCTTATCTTTGTTCTGAGGTCCCTGTGTGTCTCTGGAATTGGCTGGCATTCTCCATTCAGGTCACGCCTTCCCCTGCCTGCAACAGATCCCCTCTCCCCCTCTCTCCCTCTGTCTTTTCCTCTCTCCCCTCTCTCCTCTGACTGGCTCTTCCACACTCAAGAGGAACCTGACAGAACAGAATCTGTCTTCTCCCTTAAATGATTTGCTCCACCAGTTCCTGCCTTTTTCCTGTGGGGCTGGCTCCCAGCCTTGAGAGAAAAGAACTGAGAGGCTCAAACTGGTGTGTGCATCGTGTGTGTGTGTGTGTGTGTGTGTGTGTGTGTGTGTGTGTAGGGGGACAGTGTCTAATTTCTCTTTAGTCTCCTTTGCCAGATGGCTATAATTTTCTGCTCTTCTTCAAGACACAGGAAAGAAACACCAATTAAACAGAAAACAACCCAGAAGGTCATGTTCACATCTACACAGGGAGGACAATGCAGACAACTCAAATCCAAAAGCCTCTCTCTGCGCGTTAGCAAACAACTGCAGGGTTTCCGTGAACAGAGGCGCAGGCTCAGCACGTGAAGACACAGCGTGTCCTGTCCCTCCCTGGCTCTTCTTGCCGCTGCGGAGCTGCTCTTGTAGCCGGTAGACCAGCTCCTCTGCCGTCTCCACTAACTCCAGCCCCAGGAGGTCTTTCACCACAAGAAAGCCTGGTACTCGGAGGGGACTGAACGACCTAAGCCTGTCTACACCTGGGCTCCAAACGAGCTACCCCTCTCGGCCTAAAAACAACCACTGCACTAGTAGGGAGAAGCCCTGTGCGAGGGGGCACAGGACTGCTCCAGCCTCTGCAAATGCAGAGGGTCTTCTTGGGATCTTCACATTACAAATGGCGTGAGTTTCTGGTCTAAACTACCTCGTTACTCACCCTTAGTCCCCTGCCAACATTACCTTCATTGTTGTTCGTAAACCTGTTACCAATTTGCCAAACAACCCAGTTAGGATTCTGCCCTCCTGCGATCATCCCTAACATTTATTTGACTCTCTGTGTCAGACCATGTTCAAAGCGCTTTGCCATAGTGCCACTCTGGGCTAGCTGTACACTTTGTACAGGTGTTTAGTAACGTTATCCCTATCTCACAGATGGGGAAACTGCCCAGAGAGGGTACATAGGTAGAAAACGGTGAAGTGAGGATCTGAACCAATGAAGAATCAGAGTTCTCACCGCTCACTATATTATGCTGCCCCTCCCATAGCATTTTAAGTACACACACACACACACACACACACACACACACACGCTCAGCTTTCATGGAGAAATTCATTTGGAGGCATACTAGAAAGAGCAGTAGAATTAAAGTCAGAACTCAATTGTAATCTCTCCTCTCTTCCAAAACCTGCTCTGCACTTTGGACATAATACTGAACATCTCTGATCTTGTTTCCTCATCTGGATAAGGTGGTTTGCTCTGGGTTTTACTTGAGAGCATAGTTATAGAAGTGCCTTTTCAGCTGTCCAGTGGGGTATGTGAGGGAAGCCTTCAACCTCCTCTAACCAAGAAGACACACGCAGGCACCCTCCACCCTCACACAACTCCCTTTTGGCTCATTTTGGGGGGATGAGTGGTTTTAATCTCCCTGGAATCTTCTTCACTCTGGTTTCTCTATTTTAACACTTTCAGACGCCGGCTTTGCCAAGCCTGGCGTTGTTAAGAGGCTGTGGTCGAAAATACGGATGCAAGTATATGAGATGAGAGAATGTGTTTGAACTCAGGCACTGTTTGGGCCAAACATTGCTCTCTCTTTCATGCAGGGTGGAAAAACAAAAGTCTTTAAAAGTCCTATTAAGACTCACAGACTCCTCAGACATCAAATAACTCTCACAAAACAACATTTTAATGATTTAAGTGTAAATGAATCAGAAACACATGGGCTGCATTTCTCTTGAAATACACAAGGGTTTTAAAACCGAGAAAGAACTTGGCAGAATGTCCACCGTGCAGAGGGCCCTGCCCTCGGAAGACAGTCCCTCCATTCCCACCAGAGCTAAGCCTGCACTCTCCTCATTTGGGGCACATACAGGAAGTGCAGCCACTTGTTCTGGGCACAGAGGGAAGAGGTTGGAAGGGAAAGCCACTAGCTTCTTCTTGTAAGGTGTCAGAGAGCAATGGGCCTCCTGGAATAATTCCCTGCCCATGTGGGTTGTTTTGTTTTGTAAGGCTGCCAGTGTTCCATGGGAGGCACTGGAAATCTGTTCTGAGCCAAACTTCTGCCAATATACAGAGGGTCTGATTTGTGCTTCCATGGGAGTGAGCCAAAGCACAGACGATATCGGCTTGAGATCAGAAACTTGGTGGCTCACTGCGTGATCTGGGTGTGAGTCAGCACAATCTCTCATTGGGTGGAGCTGTTGTCCTGGACTTTAGGTAAAACTCCCCAAGGTGTCATGAACAGGCCATAGTGAGTTACAGGCATGCACTGGGCATTGGTTAGAGAGTACAAGAATTGGACTCAACCTCTGTAACCTATCTGGTACATGACCCTGTCTGAGTCACCTGCTTTCTCAGATGGGGTAGGGTGGGGTGAAGCGTCAGTGTGGTCAACACGAATATCCGAGAATTGGGCCCATGCCGGATCACGAAGCACATCGGGAGGTGGGGGTGAGAACTATGGAATGATATTGCAGTGAATGTGTTCAGGCGGGATGCTAATGCCCTATAAAGGAAGTTTGAGGAGATCAGAGTGGTCCTCATAATCTTGCCACTTACCCTTTTCTGTGGTCCTAATATTGCTACCATGACTTCATAGATATGGGATTCAATCACAGATATTGAAGGGAAAAATGTAAATGAGTTAACCAGCCTCTCAAATGCTTAGCAACAAGAGTTAAAGTATGCATGCAAGGACTTAAACATCTATCAGAATCACAGACAAGCCAAACAATAGAGGTAGGCTTAGTGCCCTCTGAGTCTAGTCAGAGAACCTGAGCAAAAGAACCTTAACAAACCAGACCCTAAATGCTATAGCATTCCTACTACCAAAATGGTTTACATGTTCTACCAAGGTATTTATTATACCAATGCCTGAGCCAAGAGTTTCTGAAATTCCACAAGTGAGTTAGAAATGTAAGGAATTGGGGCAATGGGCTTATTTTGGCAAAGCCTGAAATCCAGGCTTTATGATGAAGTCTGAAATCTTAGATATATACAATATCTAAGAAACCAAGAAATAGTTCCAAAGATTGCAGCCAAGAATTAAGCATCAAATTGGTCGACACACTGTTTCATCGCATGTTGAGAGCCAAGGCTTCTGAACTTATTGAACAGTCAGAATGTCCTGGGAAGTTTAAAGCACATGAGTCCATGTGCTTCAGCCCAGGGGACTCTTCGGGTTTAAAAGACCCGGGGCCAGGCCTCCAAATGCATAATTTGAAAAGCTTTCCAGCAAGGCTTTTTGTCATTGGTGATACAAAGAACATAATAGTGTATTTACGATTGATGGTCTTTTAGATTTGATGAAATACAAATTTACTTTGTGCCATATACTTCCATATGCATCACTGCATATGCGTTCACAATTTTTTTTAAACAGAGAACTGCGTTTTCTCAGAGAAGCTATGTTTTGCAAAGACCACACAGCTGCTAAGTGGTCACTTTGAGTACAGCTATCTTGGCCCGGGTCTAGACCCTGTCCTTCATCTATAGATTCCTGATTCTCCCGGTGGCCATGAGCTATGTTCTCATCTATTTGCTGAGTCCGAGCCTCCCTTACAGGAGGGGCTTTCAAAGTCCCAAGACTCCTACCACCTGTAGTGTCAAGTTTATTTCAGGCTTGACTCACATGGAATTCAAACAAACAAACAAACAAACAAACAAGCATGGGGTCTGTTAAGATTTGCTTGGTAAGAAAGAGCAAATGTCGACTGAAGCAGAGAGAGTTTACACCCCTTCATACCAAGAGTCAGGAGGCAGGTGGGGTGAAGGAAGCTATGCAACACTGTTTTTTTCTTTCTGGCTGCCCGTCTTCAGATGTGAATTTTAATATTCATCATTTTTTCCCATGGTCACAAAAAGTACTGTAACTCCAAGTTAGGAGCCGGACAAAGGAGGAAGAGGAAGACGTTCACGTACGTCTCACGGACCAGAACTGGGTCACCAGCTACCCCTAGCTGCAAGGGAGCCTAGAAAGTTGAGTTCCAACTGCTAACAGCTTACGCAGCAGAAGCAGGCAAAAAGACAGGACTTAGAAATGGGAGTTGAACGGGATAACTTTCGGTACTCGCTACAATGCTATACCAAGAAAGTCCTGTCTTTTCCATTGCTTTTTGATCCCCAATATTTTTAAGCCCAAAGCCTCAAAGGGTGTCATTGTGCCTTTAACATTCCTTTTAACAAGGCGAGGGAGCTCTCAGGTTCAGAGATTTGTTGGGGTGATAGTATTCTGATATGATTGTAAAACTCGGAGCCTTGGTGGGGTGGTGGGTGAGTGCCTGCATGTTGGGCTGTGATCTGCATGGTCGGCAGTTTGAAATCACCAGCCTCCGCAGGAGAAAGACAGCGCTGTCTACTCGGAAACTCCCAGGGCAGTTCTACCCTGCCCGATGAGTCCGCATTGGCGCGAGGGTACAGTGTGGTTTTTCTAGTATGTGGTGACGTGCTTTCAAGTGATTTTCAGTTTGTTTGTTTTTGACAAACTCAGAAACATTTGAAATAAAAGTATAAACAATAAGATAGGTACTAGTCATACAGATAAAAACCGTATAAAGCTATGTAACCAAATGTTGGAAACAATGCTCTAGATTAGGGATAGGCAAACTTTTGAGACAGATCCAATTCTGCCCCTCAAGACAGTTTAAAAAGCCATAAATATACACTTGAAAACAAACAAAATCACCATTATCTGGAAAAAACATTTTTTTCACTTTTACTTCAGAGCCACAGTGTGCATGAACTGAAAGAGCTGCATATGGCTTGCAAGCCTAAGTGTGCCAACCTCTGCTCTGTTGAGGACAAACTCAGGCAACGTAGCCCAACAGAGTAGAAGAAGAACTAATTTCTGAGTCAAGATGCCGGTGTGGAAGCCAAACTACT